CCCTGACTTTTTTTTGCTATTAGACATCTGAGTACCTATTAGCAAAAAAAAATCAGCTTTGACAGACCCTGACTTTTTTTTGCTGAGAGCTACTCACATATCCAAACACGCTGAAAATTAGCACGGAGCTCATGCACTCAAACTTTTTTATAAAAAAAAAGGCAGGCCCCTGCTCGTCCCCCTGGCTCCGCCACTGTCGACAGTAAACTTTTTTACAGACCCTGACTTTTTTTTGCTGAGAGCTACTCACATATCCAAACACGCTGAAAATTTGCACGGAGCTTATGCACTCAGACTTTTTTTAAAAAAAAATATAGTATTCTTTTTTATTTTACTATTCACGGACAGGAGCAGATGAGCTTGGGAGCCATCCCTCCAAACCTGCTACCTATGCTTTAGTGTCCCAAAGAAGGTGTCGAAAGATTGACCCCCATCATTGTATTGAACCATGTCCCAATCGATGTGATCTGAAGCCCCACCTCCAACATGCATCCACCGCCACAATGATTATTAGAGAAGAGGAATACCAGATGATGTACCTCCAGACCAGTCGGAAGAGGATGAAGACGAGCTCTCAACATTTCTATCGAGCATCGCGGTGGAGTACCACCATACATAGCATAGTACGAGACATCGGCATCGCATCACACTATGCCAATCTAGAATCGAATTCCATGAAATCAGCCGGAGACACCTTCACATGCCCTTTGTCAAGGCTAGATGCATCGCATCACCTGAATAGGGGTTAGCCAAGGTGAACTTATTTCATTTTCAAAGAGTGGATACTCCCGGCAAGGGCCGGCGTGATGCCAAACGGAAGGTAGAGGAACCCTAAGTTCAGCCGCCGGCGGCTACGTCAAAGCACATCTTGCTTAATGTAGGGCGCTAATCATTGGAAAATGTTTTAAAAAAGTAGGTGGAATGTATTGTGTTAATCATTGGACAAATGTTTTAAAAAAGTAGATGGAATGTATTTCTAGCATATAATTTAAGTAAAATAGATTCCAGGACCGGGTCTTTTCAAGGCAAGCGTCTGACTCTTTTTGGAAAGTTTTTTGTTTTTCTGTTGCATTGGCATCCATGTCTGACTTCTTCAAAGTTCTTGCTTTTCTATAGCACTGGCATCCACTTTCTAGACAGCGCGATCGTGATCGGCTTGGGCCCATTTGAACTTTCTAGAAGCGCGACCGCGATCAGCTTGGCCCATTAGAGTGCGCAACTAGCTACAACACATCGACTATCCTCTTTGTAAGTGGTCGTTAAATTTTAAAAGTGGTCGTTACACGTTTAAAAAATTATAACGCCCCAGATATTACTTTCCAAATTTGTACACCAACTCTTGCCGTTTCCGGCATTAAGTTATATTTATTCCTCGGGTTCGGGTCTTTGTCTCCGTGTGTTGTTTTTTTTTTCGTGCATCTCATATCATGTCATCACGTGCATTGCATTTGCATACATGTTCATCTCATGCATTCAAGCATTTTCCCTGTTGTCCATTTTGCATTCCGGCGCTTCGTTCTCCTCAGGTGGCCATTCGAGCTTTCTTTCGTGTGTGGGAATTAAACATTTTCGAATTGGACCGAGACTTGCCATGCGGCCTTGGTTTACTATCGGTAGACCGCCTGTCAAGTTTCGGGTCATTTGGACTTCGTTTGATACTCCAACGGTTAACCGAGGGACCGAAAAGGCCTCGTGTGTGTTGCAGCCCTACACCCCTCCAATTTGGCCCAAAACCCACCAAACTCTGCTCCATCGTCTCGGTCGTTCGATCACGATCGCGTGGCCGAAAACCGCACCTCATTTGGACTCTCCTAACTCCCTCTATGCCTATTTAAACCCCCTCCC